TTCTGGGATTCCCAGGGTGTGCTATGCAGACAACGGCAACAATTTGTATAATGTGGAGCTGCCATGCATTGCTGGAAGGCAGACAGTCTCAGGGGTCAGGGGAGGGTAGGTTGAGCGGCTGTGGCTGCTGCTGTGTGCTCCGCATATCCCCTGCACATTCTGGGGGCCTGCGCGATGGCAGCGAGGTGTGGCTTAGGGGTTTGGTCCTGGCTGCCAGCTCCATGTGCAATGAGACCCACCTTCACGCAGCCAGCAGCTGGAGGAGCAGGGCAGGGAGCTAAGGCCCCGCACCCACCCGGCTGCTCCTGCTCCCGCAGCAGAACCCTCAGCTGTCTCACTTGGCTTCCTGACCCATGGCCATCTGGTCCCAAGTCACAGGCACAATGGCCACACCAGACTCACGGCCACTGCTCTCCGATGCCAAGTGACTGCCCAAGTGAAGTGTTTGCTGGCCTGATAGTAAACTGAATTGCAGCATGCTCACTCGTAGGGGGAGAATGAACCATCCCGGTAACCTCACCAGCTGGAGAATGAACCCGTTCAGTCGCTTGTGCGATGATGTGCGTGTGCAAGGAAAGCTTCCTCTTAGTGGGAACTGCGCACTCCTGCGTTTGTCCTCTGCACGCTGAGTTAGGGAGTACCACTGCTCCGTGCAGTCCTCCTTCAAGCATCTGAATGACCGCGTGATGCACGCCATCATTCAACGCCAGTGCCCTGGCATGGAGAGCAAAATTTGCCAGAATGTGGCCACCAACATTTCCTTGTCCTTGGCACTTTTGGATGGTCCCATTCGCAGGGTGTGATAGCAGTGGGTTTCCTGGGTGGAAGGCATGGATGATTCTTCCTGGCTCGCCCTTTTAAAGGATGCATGTTTTGTTCAAGGTTAGTGTCAGCTAGCAGCTAAACACAGTTTTTTGAGCCCTGCTCTGCAAAAACTCAGTCTCCACACCCAGTGGCCTCCTGGCGGGCGGGGGGGTTGTGAACACACTTTGACTGCATAAATAAAGGCAGCGTTTTTTTTTAGTTCGGAAGCTCTGTGGTTATGGCTGTGTTTTCGGCAAGGCTTTGGTGCCTCAGTGCTTTATGCTACTGTTGGGAAAGCAGGTTTACCCTGGGGTGGGGTGACTTCGCAGGGGGTCCAGGCAGGGGGCCCCCTGTGTATCATTTGGGATACATCCAGGCCACAGGGATAGCGCATGCTTGTCCACTCTCTTCTGCACAAATGGGACCTTCACTTGTGGGCTGTTTCTGGACCCATCTGCACCAGGAGTGACCTTGCAGAGGGCAAGGCGTGGGTGGACAAGGCTGGAAGATGAGGATGCTGGGCAGGCAGGGAGGACAGCACCTCGGGGAGCCTCGTTTCAGCTCCACCACGCGCTGTTTCATGTCCCTGCTGTCCCTGCTGGGGCTGTGACAGGTGCCACAAGCTATTTGCTACTGTTCGTAGTGGAAGACTTGCATGCATGGCCAATTCGTGTCCCTCCCCCAGTGCCTTCCAGGATTCCCGGAGGCCATGCCATCATCTCTCATGCTACACCAGGGCTCACCCAGGAAATGTGGCTTCCTGCATTGGTCCTTGGCGGCGAGAGTGGGGGTGAGGACGGCTCACCACAGATGTCACTGCTCCCCCGCCCCCGCACTCTGCAGGGGTTTCCCTTCCCCGAGTTCCTGTTTCCTGTCTCAGCTACCCGCCAGAAGCTTCCTCTACCCCCTAGCCCTAAGGAGGTGGCAGAGAGGAGGCCCAGGGCGACAGTGCCCTGCGGACACCAGCATGGTTTTGAGTTGCCACAGCGGCACTTCCTGTCTGGACCTAGGGGATGCTGTCCTGCAGGAGTGACATCCAGCCATCTTCAGCCTGCCGCACCCTTTGTGCCGCCTCACAATGCAGTCTCTTTTCCAGGACTGCAAATGCAGTCACAGCCAGGTGTCCTTGCTGGGGACGGGGTGGTGGTGACCCCGTAGCAGGACCCAGCCTGGAGTCCATTACTGTGGAAGCAGGAACCGCAGGCAGGTGGACAGTGGCAGGACCACCCTATTTTCCAAGACACAGGTTGGAAAGCTGGCTTCTTACACTGAGGTTGTCGATTTTGAAAGGTGGCAGGGGATTCGGTTTTTCTTGCGGACGCCCCCGCGGAACAAGCCCGGCCTGCAGCGGGTTTGCACCCTCTGCTGCTCTGGCTGGGCCGCAGTGTGGGGTCTGGGGACGCACACTTGCCAGTGAAGCGCAGTATGCTTGGTGGGGCCTGGGGGGTCTGCCAGTCCCTCACCCACCCAACTGAAAGGGACAGCTCGGAAAGCTGATTGCTTACTCAGAACCCACTCCCTTGTTTGCAAACGCAGCGACTTCTCCCTCGGGCGTGAAAGTGAGCGGGAAGTGCAATTCAGAGGAAAAAAAAAATGAGCTGCAGCCACTTGTAAAGGGGTTTTCCAACGGAGAGCCTCAGAAGGGGAAGCCTCCTTTCAGCAAGGGTCCGGCCTCCTTCCGGCTCGGCTGAGGCTCGGGAAAGCCTGGCGGCGTCCACTGCCAGCGGGGATGGGGGGCTGTCACCTTGCCTGGGAGGGGCTAGCTGCAGCCACACGGTTGGGTGGCGGGTCCTCCGGGAGTGTGACCAGCTCACAGGATGCTGACTGTGTCAGATCAGTACCCGCAGTAGCTCTGGCACCCCTGTGAGCAGCAGGGTGGTAATGGTGGGGCTGGCGGGGTGGCAGCTGGGGGGTGGGCAAGGCTCTGCTCCCAGACAAGAAGATTCCTCCCTGATTGAGACAAGGGCCTGCCCCCCTCTCCCCACCCCGCGAGGCGATATCCTGTGTCAGAACGTCGCGGTTTCCTGAAATTGAATATCTTACAAAATGGGAGCCCAGGAGGACTGCCCTCCCTCCCCCTCCTCTCACTCCTCCCCCCCCACAGTCAGTCATCCCTGCCGACCCAGCAGGGACCACGCTGGGACCCTGCAGGCAGGGCCTTCCTGTCAGGCCCCTCTTGGTGTGTGGGCCATGCTTGGTATCAGTCACCGGAGGCGGTGCTGACACGTCTGATCAGTCATTCTGGCCAGCATCACCTGGGGGGACCTGGAACGAATGCATTTTCAGAAATTCTTTCACGCCTTTCAAAGGACAACGAGTAAATCTCAATCACTTAAACACGGACGTGTTTGATCCCATCGAGGCACACTCAGGCATCGTAAATGCCACCAAGAAGAGGAAACGGTGGCCACTGTCCTGAGTGCAAGGTCTCCCGGACCCCTCGCTACTGACACAGCCCGTCTAGGGGTCGGAGAGGCGAAGAGCAAACCAGCGCGTCTGGGAAGCCGAGAGACCGCCGGGCGGCGCCGGGCGCCAGCTGCGCCCCGGGGGCTCCGTGCGCCAGAACCCGGACTTGGCGCGCCCAAATCCAGATAGCCGGCTGGACCGCCCACCTGGAGAGACAGCCGAACTAATAGGACAAAGCCACTTGGTGGTTGCTCCTCAGCCCTTCCCCTTCCAGCACCACTACCGCCCCAGGCTCGCGCGCGCGCGCCCACCGACCGCCCGGGCTGGGAAAGGAGGAGAGCGGGGCCCGGAGCGCTCCAGACTTGGAAGGGCGGGGAGTGCGTCCCCACAGCAGCAACCTCTGGTCTGGAAAAAAAAAAAAAAAAAAAAAAAAAGCACACCTCCCGAGACCTCTCCCGCCGCTGTTATTCCAAGACTGCTGAGCGAGCCTTTTACGCACTCATATTCGAGTCATTAAGATGTTTCAACACAGCAAGAGCCATATGGGCACTTACTCCACCCTCAGGGCGCAAGGGGGTCTTTTCTCGCCTCCCACTCCCCACGGCAGCCCCAGCTCTTTGCAGCTTGGCCAGGGCCAGGGGCGCGCGCGCGCGTGTGTGTGTTGGTGTGTGTCCGCGTGTGTGTGTCCTGTAGATGGCGCCCGGGAAAGGGATTCCCCAAACCCGAGCCAGAACACACAGGTCTGGGCGCAGCGGTCCTTGTCCTTCGCTGCTTCAGTGGTGGGGGGATGGGAGGTTGGCACGCGCTCGGAGAACTAATGGGCACGGGGATGGGATTACATTTAGAGTTGGTGCACTGGGCGCTCACCCAGAGCTGGGGGGCAGCGTGGCCCGCAGCCCCGACCCCCACGCGCCGGGCAGCCCGACGACCCCCGACGCGCGCGAGGGCCTGCCCACCCCACCCTGCGGCAGGTGGACAGTGTTGCTATGAAGAGAAAGCCCCGATTGTCCGCACTGCAAACCGCCACACGCCAGACCTCAGCTATTGTGCGTCCTCCATACAAATGCAAACGAGCCGCGTGCGCCGGCCGCAATCTGCTCGCCCTCTCCACCCCGCTCCCCCACTCGGCCGCCGGCGCCCCGCCACGCCCGACCGCGGCCAGGGAGGTGGGCTGCACCGTCCAGCGCGACCCGAAGGGCCTGGGGTATGCTCGGCAGGCGTCACCCACTCGCTCCGGGCCGCAGTGTCCGCCGCAGGGACCGTGCCTTCTGCAAAAGAAAAGTGCAAACTGGCGCTGCGTGTTTTTTAATTGTAATTTCCGGCTTCAATGCAATAATCTCTTAAACTTCCAAATGAAAGAAAAAGGGGAGGAAAAAAAATAGGCTTTGCAATGAAAATACACGCTAAGACAGTCCTTTCTAAAAAGGTGCATTTGATCCATTGTAGCAGCGTAGTAGCATTGGCAAACAAGGCTTTGGATTTTTTTTTTTTTTTTAACTTTTTACCATTTAAGGACTCGGGGGGGCGGGAGGGAGAAGGCGAGACGAAATCTGCAGGCTCCAGTCTGCCTGGTAACGCTCCGACAAAAGCGGCACATTTCAGCCATCTCTCATCCCCCGCACCCCTCCCCACGTGGCCTTCTGGCACGAGCCGCCGGCCCGCGGCTCATTTGCATCAGAAAGCGGGCGCCGGCCAATGGGCGCGCAGCCCTGCGCCAGCTGGCCGCGCCGCGCTCGCCGCCCTATAAAAGGCCGCGCCGCCCCGGCTCGGCGCAGTCGCTGCTCGTGCGCGCCAGGCGGCTGGTGGGCTGCGCCGGCGTCTCCGCGCTTCGCACTTGTCGCTTGTGGATAACTCGCTGCTCTCCGACTGCGCACACCATGACTCTGGAAGAAGTCCGTGGCCAGGACGCCGTTCCGGAAAGCACAGCCAGGTAGGTCTCCGGGCGCGGAGAACGTGGCTGCTCGGCAGGGGTGGGGAGCCAGCCGGGCGGTGGTCGGTGGTCGGTGGGTCGCAGGCGCAGCGGGTGCAAGGCGCCTTCGCCGCTGGTGAAGCGCCGGGGATGTATAATCTTCCCGAGGAAGCTTAGGGGGTGTGCAAGAAGTTTGCCGGGAGCAGGGGGCAGGGGTGTGAGCGCCAAGTACAGGCTGCGGAGCCTGGTGGAGGGTGCACAGCCGAGAGCGGGGAGGCACGGGGTACGGGCGCCAGGCTGCGGCGCCACCGCCGGCTGGCTCCCAATCACGGCGCTGGCTCGTCCGCAGGATGCAGGGCGCCGGGAAAGCGTTGCACGAGTTGCTGCTGTCGGCGCAGCGCCAGGGCTGTCTCACCGCCGGCGTCTACGAGTCCGCCAAAGTCCTGAACGTGTGAGTATAGGCGCGGTCCGGGCGGGGGCGGCCGGCGGCGGCGGGGAGACCGCAGCTCGCCAGGGCCTGACCTCGGGAACCCCTCCTCTCGCGCAGGGACCCCGACAATGTGACTTTCTGCGTGTTGGCGGCCGACGAGGAGGACGAAGGCGACATCGCCCTGCAGATCCATTTTACGCTGATCCAGGCGTTCTGCTGCGAGAATGACATAGACATCGTGCGCGTGGGCGACGTGCAGCGGCTGGCGGCCATCGTGGGCGCGGGCGAGGAGGCTGGCGCGCCGGGAGACCTGCACTGCATCCTCATTTCGGTGAGTGTCGCTCCCCTCTCTTGTCCCCACAACCCCCGCGACCGCGATCGCCCCGCATGCGCGTCCCACCCCCGGCTGTCAAACAGGCTGACCCTCCTACGTCCTTCCTCCGCCGCAGAACCCCAATGAGGACGCGTGGAAGGACCCCGCCTTGGAGAAACTCAGTTTGTTTTGCGAGGAGAGCCGCAGCGTCAACGACTGGGTACCCAGCATCACCCTTCCCGAGTGACAGCCCGGCGGGGACTTTGGTGTGAACGACGTGGTGACGCCCCGGGGCGCCTAGCGCGCGCCTGGCTCTGGAAAGGGGCCCTAGAGGGAGCCCGAGCGCGCGGCGTGGAGGCTGGCAGGCGGGGCGCCTGATGGGCGCGGAGGCGCGGCACCCCACGAGGGGCCCGGCGGCGGCGGCAGGGGCAGGCTGGCTCAAGCGGAGGACGCTGCGAGTGTCTGGAGCGTCTGGAGCGGCTGCTCGCCCAGGAAGGCCGAGGCGGGGACGTTGGCCGCAGGGCCGGGGGAAGGACAGACTGGCCCAGCCGGCGTGACTCAGCAGGAGGCGGGCAGGGGCGAGACGGCCTGGACTTGGTTCAGCTGCAGAAAGCCTGCGGGATTTGCGGACTGCGCTGCCTTCTCCCAAGCGGATCGGGCAAATGCTCCCGTCTTGCGAAGGATGCTGCCGTGGCAGCTTTTTGAGTCTTACAATAAACTCCTTGAAATAAACTTCATGTTCTTTACTAAGGGTGGGGATTCTTGCCCGCGGGGAGGTGGCGAGCTGGGACTCCTTGGAACTGAAGGCACCTGTTCCCTTCTTCCTGTCCAGCAAGAATTACAGGCTCCTGGCACTGATGGTTGGGGGCGGGGTGTGCAGGCAGAACCTGAGCTGGGCTCCTGTTTCCTTTAAGGAAAATACTAAAGTATTGACAGGGGCTTGCTTCAAGTGAGACTTCCATGCGCAGCTGCTAAAGGCTTGCAATCCAATCTGATAACAGGGACCTCTGCCTCCCTCCCCGCCCCATCCCCCTGCGGCCCCTCCCTCCCCGGACAGCTGCTTATCTGAGCAGCTTGCAGGAGGCACGCAGCCCCCTTGCTGTGCGATGGGTATGGTCGGGCTGCAGCCGTGCCCTTTGTGGTCCCTGAGCACCATGGCAGGCAGGGTCTTGCTCTGCTGTGACACAAAGCAGTGTTACAAAGGTACCACGTTGATGACTGTTTCGGTGTGAGTCATTCCACTCTCCTGGCTGGCGTGGGACTTCCAAGATCCTAACAGAAATCGGAAGGCAGCTTGTACGTAGCCAGGCATGAGCGATTCCGAGCCGCATCTGCTCTCCGCCACAGCTGCTATTTGCAATGTTCTCAGCCCACGTCAGCCTGGGGAGGAGTGTTGATGGAGTGAGGCAAGTGGAGGTGGAGTGGAGGAGGGGAGTTCACGTTTGGGAAGCCAGCTATCTAAGGAGGAACACGTCCTGAGTGAATGGATCTGTTTGCATTACAGCGCTGTATCTTGACTTCACTCCCCATGCCTGACATTTCTGCTTTGCGCAGGAGACTTGCACGTGGGGAGTGCGTGCTGTGAGCCGGGTTGCCAGGCAGCCCTGCTCTGGAGCCTTCCAGCACAGGAGGGGCCTCTGGCTGTTTCCGAGAAGGCCTCCTAGGCTGAGTTATCAGCAGTCCTTGAGGTGGCTGATCCGCCTTGTCCAGGGCCCTGCTGTTAAAATTCTCTCCAAACGGCAGCCACAGCCGGCGGAAGCATTGGCAAGACAACACTGGGAGAGCTTAATTTTCCTGTAAGGACAACATCCTGTTTCCCATTTAGCTGCTCTTAAAAACATTTACCCTCTTGATGAGACAGAAGGCCGAGGAAATCGCTCAGCTGTGTTTGTGCCCTAGTCGTGTGAGTGTTTGCAGGAGCTGTTTGCTGCTCAAAATCTCGAGCCCTCTTTGTGTAGGGGTTGTTTAGAATAGTCCGTGTTCTGGTCGAGGGACCATTTGCCCAACATGGCTACAGGAGACACAAAAGGGAGCATAATTGCTTGAAAATACACTCTTAACGGAGTCAATTCAGCTTCCTGTTGCACAGAGCAGGCGGGCCAGAGAGCCTTGGAGAGCATCAGGCTGGCAGGTCTGATAAAGCTGGACTTTCTCTGATGAGCCCTTGCTGTGAGGCCCCTGAGGGGCTGAGAGAAATTGCTGAGGGAGAAGGGGGGCGGTGCAGGGAATGTATGTCTGGACAAAGTGCCAGGCATCCAAGTTGTGGTCAACTTTGTGAGTGGAAGTTTAATGCTGTCACCTCGAGGGCAGCTGATAAAAGCACCATTACATTGGATACTCCTCGCAAGCCTACATGTTACTGTCCAGAGAAGTTCAGCTAATTGCTACATGCGTGTTGATGTCACCCGTACAGGCTGTTGAGCACCACGCCCGGCTCCAGCAAGAGCTGAATGGATGGTTAATGGTACTTGAAAGCTAATGAAGGCGTTTGCATAAGACCACAAGTGGACTAATGGGTTTGGGGCCAGTCTGCTCCCAGCGCTACACACTTGCACCTGCCACAAACTTCCAGGTGCCAGAGTGCTTCTCAGGCTGTTTTTTTTTTGTAAGATAACTTCTTAGGGTCGTAAAACTTAATAGCTATGCATTGTGGAAAATCGCAAGCTATGGAGGTAGTAAGGATAAAAAGCGAAAATGCTTCTAGCCCACGATCAGCACGCTTGATGTTTTTCCCTTGGGTGTGTCTGTATCGTGAAAGATACAAAAACACAAAACTTGTCCCAGGGAGCTCATGTATGTTGAGTTCTGACTGCTTCCTTGGTGTGCTATGGTGGCCCCTGGGTCCTGAAATGGCTCTGGGCCCTAGAGTAGTCCCTGCTGCAGAAGCTCCAGCAAGGGGGCCTTTACCAGGGGGCGCTCCCCAAACATAAGCTTCTAAGCGTCACGTGTGTAAGGTCCTCCCCGCTGCTGTGCCACCCCGGAACAATGAAAGTCAAGCATGCTTATCTTTATTAAAAAATAATCGCAATTTTTGCAGTGGGTACTGTGGTATAGTGGGTTAAGTGTTGCCTGGGACGACTGTGCTCCCCCCCCCCCCACAGGAACGCCTGGATTTCAATCTTACACGTCCACTTCCTACCCAGCTCCCTCCAAACATGCATGTTGATGGGTGGGTTGGGGGAACTCATTTCCTTGCCCCCAGTGAGGGAGACCCCAGATGGAGTTCCTGGCTCCAGACCTTGGCCTGGCCCTGCCCTGCTTTCCGCAAGCATTTGGGGAGCGAACCAGCAGATGGGAGACATCTCTGCTGGTCTCTCTACATTCCAAATAAAGGGAGAATAGGTAAATCCAAATGTGTGGGGTCATTGCTTACAGATCGGCTCTGGTCTGGTGAAGACACGGAAGGCAGCTACGAGGGTCAGGGGCCTTTTTCCACACTTGGCCTTGTCCACCCTCGGGAGGCGAGGGCTCTTGCCCATCCCATGGTGAGATGATGGCTGATGGATGGTCTCGGGGATTGAGCCTACTTGTAAAGGCTTTCCTGTGTTGCCCGTTTTAGTAAGCCTTAAGAGCACAGCGCCTGTTGCTCTTGACATTCACAAAGAGCCGCTAGAGGACAAACAGAAAGTGAAGAAAAGCAAGGTGTTTGCAAGCAAGGCCTGACTGGGGAAGGCCTGCCACAGAACGCTCACCTGAGCTTTCAGAAATGTTTGTGTGTTTTATCCATCTTCTCTGAGCTATCAGCCTCTGGACTCTTTTTTTTTTTTTTTTTGGCGGTGGCTGGGGGGAGGGTGCACATACTCCTAAGATTCAGATCATCCTTCTGTAAGACACGTGGGCACACTTTCAGACCTGGTGGGGCAGACGAGGGGGCTGGAGGCATGGCCCTACGGGGTGCACCTGGCTTCTAGCAATAGCTGGGGCCAGTGGGTGCTGGAACCCTGGTTGGGCTTCCATTTCTGTTCCAGAACAAATATCTCTTGATTTTCGTAAGCAGGCCTGCTTTTTTTTTTTTTTTTCAAGTCTAGCTCAAATCTCCCTTCACCATCTTCTAGAATGAAATTGCTGAATTATCTCACGTGTCTTGGCATGAGCAGAGATGGCCTGTAAGAGTCCTGGCTGCTACAGGAGTCAGGTGCTGGTGATTCGGGTGTGAAGCCTGTGGGAGCTCCTTGCAGTGGGCGAGGATACTGCCTAAGGTGGCCATGGCCAGGGCCCCCTCAAGGTCAGGTTCACCTGTGCTGGACTCACCCTTCCTTCCTGGGTTCTGCGGCTCTTCATGAGTCACAGGCTCCCAGTCTAGTCTTCGCCTGCCTGGGAGGTCCTGATAGACCAGGGCTCAGGCTCAGAATCCCCAACTCTACCTGTTAGATTCATGCCTTCTGGAAAATATGGAGAGAGAAATGAGTTTCTTGTTCCAGAGACACAAGTTTCCCGTTGATTGCAGCGGTGAACTTTGAAACCATGTCACTCTTTGCATTCTTTGTCACTGTGGTGTCACGAGGGCATTCTGCTGGTCCCCCCGGCCTGCCTCTCCTCCACTTCCCCCTTATCCCCACCTGCTCTCTCTATAGCTCCTTATCTGAGTCAGGTCGAGGCTCCCCAGCAGGGCTCGACTTGGCTGCCATCCGGCGTAGTCCTTCCAGCTTACCCCTGCCCTGCTCTGTGCCAAGTTCCTTGGCTCGCTCTTATTCTTCCCCTCCATGCTCCAAACCCTCCCTGGAGCTCACCTACCCATGCTTCCTCTTCCTGTGTTGAGGCTCCGCCCCTGTGTACAGGTGCAACCAACACCTCTGGCCCAGCCCCAGTTCTGCCTCTGCCCAGGACCGGGCCCAGAGCTCAGTGCAAAGAGCCCTGTGTGTTTTTTTCTTGCTTGCTCTGTGCCCTCCAGTGAGTCTGGTCCTTACTGCTGTGGTGGACTTGTGGCATGGTTTCGGGACAGTGGTGGCAACAATAGACGGTGAGAATGCAGGGCAGCGGGGCTGTGGTACAGCTCAGGGTGGCCCCAGGGCTCAGCAAGCCCGGGCATGCTTGGGATCTGGTGCTGTCTCTACCCTCACTTCCTTTACTTTTACACTTGATCCTCACATTTCTTTCTCCAGCACCTAACCCTTCACCACTCCCTGCCTGGGACTGTGAGCGACCATGGCCTTTACCACACACACTAAGGGGAAAGTCTGGCTTGGGCTGCTGGGGGACAAGAAGCCTCCTGCTCCCGACCCATGAAGGATGCTGCTGCTTTGGCTTCAGCTCGGACTGTGACTTCGTCCTGGGGCTGTGATGGGGACAGATTTTGGTCTTCTTTGCCACCTTCCTTTTATTTTTTAAGTCTTGGAGCATGTATGATGCAGGCTGCAAACTTGGTCATCTTGCCTGGAAAGGGAGAGGGTCCTCTGAGCTGCATGGCTGTCTGGGGCAGGTTGGGGTAGGTGGGATGGCTGCATCCTGGAAATGTGTGAGGTAACAGGTAGACAGGCAGATGACTGTGTTTGCCTGCAAGAAGCACCGGGCACCAGACACCAGGCTGCTCTCGGGAGCAAAGGCCCGGCAGCAGCGCTGGCTTCCTTCTGAGCAGAGGAGGTGTGTTTGCACCCTTGAAGCCGAGCTCTGGGCATTGGGCTGCCAGGACGTGAAAGTCACATGAAGGTCTCTCTCCATGGGGTAGGAGTCAGGGACACACAGCAATGAGCAGTTTCCCATGAATCAGTGCTGTGAGTTGCATGTGATCTGAGCTTCCCCT